TCCAAAATCCTCCCGGAATCTCTTACGCCTTAGCTTAAAACTATGCCCTCTAGGTGATTGACCTCTCTACTGCGGGAACAGTTGCTTTCTATTCAGGCTGTCCATACCCCTCAAATCTTGTACAATTCAAATCATTTCCCCTCTCAGTCTTCTCTGCTCTAGAGAAAACAAATTATCACATGTTAAGTTTTTTTAGCTGAGAGAACACAAAGTAAGATCACCTGGACATGAGTATTTTTTCAGCTTGAATTTTTTTTTTTTTTTTTTTAAAAACTAAACAATTGAAATTTGAAAAATTTAAGTCTATCTAGTCTTTCCTTACAGCTCAATTTCTCCATCCCACACAACAGTCTGTTGAACCTCCTCTGTACTCCTTCTAGTGCTATCACATCCTTCTCGTGGCGAGATAAGAAGAACTGCACACAGTACTCCAGCAGTGGCGTGGCCAATGCTCTGTACAACTCCAACATTATCTCCTTGCTCTTATATCAATGGCAAGACTGATGAAAGCATGTTTCCCATTTGCCTTCTTAACTATCCTTTTCACAGAATCTACCAACTTTAGGATCTGTGAATAATTACCCCAAGATCCCTCTGTTCGTCTAAACTGCCCAGTGTCCTGCCACTCATTAAATACTCCCCCATCTTGTTGCTTCTCATAAGCATCAATGAGCACTTATCAGGGTTGAATACCCATCTGACCAACTATCTTTATCCTTCTGTAACCTTGGTGTCTGAAAATTTGCTCAATATTCCACCCACATCTTCATCCAAATCATTTATGTATATAACAAACAATAGGGTCCCAGTAATGATCCTCGTGGCACACCGCTTCTACCACTACCCTTTGTGTCCTATTACTAAGCCAGTTTCTGATCCAAAAACAAAGTTGCTGGAAAAGCTCGGCAGGTCTGGCAGCATCTGTGAAGGAGAAAACAGAGTTAACGTTTCGGGTCCAGTGACCCTACATTTGCTTTAACCTTCTCAACTAGTGTACCATACGGGACCTTGTCAAAAGCTTTGAAGATACAGTTTATGGATTTTAGCTGAACTTCCCTGAACCACACACTTGATCACATTTTTGCAAAATTCTAAGAAATTCATTAGGCATGACCTCCCTCTGACAAAGCCATGCTGACTATACCTATTTAACCCACCACGCCTTTCAAAATGGGTATTAGTTCACTCCTTCAGAATTTTCTCCAATAGTTTCCCTATTTGTTTATTAATTAATTATTATGAAAAGACCAATGGTGATTAACAAAATCACTATCGCTGAAAATCTTCCAAATTTCAATTTTTTATTGAAAAAAATTCAAGCGGAGGAAATATTTTCATATCCAGGTGATCTTACTTTGCGTTCTCTTGGCTAAAAAAAAGAGACAAAAATTGGTAATCTATGACGCTTTACTTAAAATTCATTCTGTAGATTTGTATCCAAATAACCTTTCGGATATCTTTTCATACGTGAGATGATGCATACTTCCAATTATGGATCAGATTGTCACTATCATATTGACATGATAGAATTTTCTATACATGCTCAGATTGTGGAATTACCCTGCTGCTGGTGGAAACTAATAGCAATCTCAACTAAAAATATGAAACCAAAATGGAAGAAGGAAACCAAATCGGAGAAATAAAAAAAGGTTTACGACCAGACTAGTAGGACTGAGGAGTTACAGTCAATGCAGCAGATCAGGAGGATCAGCGAATGAGGCATAGCAGAAATGTTAAGGGTAAGAAAAGGGTAAAACAATAAGAACATTTCTGGGAATTGGGCACTGAATAGAATAGAGGGAACAAGGAACTAGAGTCAATGATCCAAGGGACAAAAAAGGTCAGCAGCAGATGGGGGGGGGGGTAGGAGGGGTGGGAAATAAATGAACAAACAATAAAAAGAAGCAGCATGAAGTCGTAGGTAGTGCTAAGCTACTGAGACAACACAAGCAGCACGTATCTGGTGAGGATCATAAAATGTGTACTTTCCCACTATAACTCTCATCAAAAGAAATAAAACAAACAGTTCAAGAGATGAAAATCAGAAAGTACAGAAAAACTTAAAAGGTAAGGAGACAATAACAAAAACACAGGAGAAAAAGAAACATTAAACAATAGTGCAATGGATAACTGTAACCAAACTCTTTGGACCTGATCGACCCCCTAACAATCCTCAGTTCCAAATGCGATTTATCAATAGATACAACAGAAGAATCAAATGATAAAGGACACTTTAAATTCAGAAATAATTATGTTGCAGTCTACAAAGATTAGGACTGGAATGATAATGTCCTCAAGCTCCACTTCACTACACTTAGTCTTTAGTTTTCCTGTTATAGTTCTTGACTGCTCTACTACTACACACAGCCGAGCTCACTATACATCTTGCTGAAAAACAAAGATCTACTGGCCCATTCTGCTAGGAAGCCATGCTCCATAGCCCAATTAATATTGTTCCTTTCAAATGGCTCCCCATCCATAATGGATCCCAATTCTAAACACTGGGTTAGGGATACTCCAAGCTAACATCATGCCACCTTCAAGACAACATTTATCCAACCACAGCATCTCAGACTTTATTCTTTCCCCAGCTTCCAACGTTGCTATCATCATTTCTCTACATGACCAGCTCAAGGAAAATATGCTACGGCCTCCACTCAACTCTCTCCTGCTAGTACCCAGCCTCTGAATCACCAAGAACTCACGTAGCACCTCTTCACAGTAACAAATGGCAACAGACACCTTATAGCTGGAGGCTGAATCACAGGGGATCTCACCGGACTTGCTGTTTTCTACACAAGGGTATCATGTCAATAAGTAGTCAGTCAATACAAATAAATAAATGCTTATTGAAAGCATTCACAATATGTATGGCAATATCAAAACATTTAGATCGACCATCACCAAAGTTGCTGCTTTGAATTCTGCAGATAGAGGAGCACTCAGTCAGGAACAAGCAAGGAGTCAGTTAGCAAAGCACTATTTCAAGCTACACTCATGAAACGGATCTCCCTCTGATGATGCTTGCTGATATTCTACTGCTGCCTATCACATATGACTATGATACAAAAGCTTTATTACTGGAGCTCAAAAATATCAGTAACTGCCTAACAGCAAGGACAGCACCTGAAAAAAGGACAGATGATTATTCTCTCTGCTATTCAAGTACACCAAGTTCCACCTACTGCCACACCATCATAATACCCCGTTCTTCTGCTACAGACAAGGATCTGTCCCACAGGTTGTGGGTGATGCAACCATCATCACATTATGAACACAGGCAACTGAAGGACTTGCTACAACTTCTGGGGCATCTCATTCCTCAGATTCACCAGTAAGAACTTTGTTAGCCTTTCTAACTAGGCCCCAACAACTCTCCATCAGAAACTAAAAGGTACAATGTGGTTTCAGAGCAAGCAGGTCCCTGGTAGACATGATGATCTCCCTTTATAGGCTTCAAATATACAGAGTAGCAAGAATCTTTCCACCTTGCTGTCGTGGATATCACACCAACAGTTAACAACATGAACAGGAAGACCTCGATGGATAGGAGAAAAAAAAAAATAGACAGGGCTGCATCATAGCCCTTTTTTCTTTCCATCCTAATGAGCCACGTCAGACAGTTACATAAATGCAT